GACACAACATCTTTGTTTGTATGTGGTGCTGAGGATCGAACCCGGGCCGCACGCATGCCAGGCGAGCGCGCTACCGCTTGAGCCACATCCCCAGCCCAACCTTCTTCGGGTATTGATCTATCACTGCTCAAAGCCGACCCCCACAGGGTCCGTGCTTCCTCACTGCCTGAGCCCAGGTCTGGCATCGGCCCACGGACTTGTTCGCCTATAGGTTGCTTGACTCCTACCCAAAGCTAGATCTAGTGTTCCCTTCGCCAGGCCCAAGGCTGCTCCCTGATTTCTGTCTCCTTATTTTGACCCAGAGGTTAGTTCTGTACCTTGATCTCCAACCGAGGCCAGATGCTAGCTTTCCTGCTTCCCCTGCACTGACCTTTGAGAGATGCATTCCTGGTGCCAGTTGCTGTGCCTGGGCTCTAACCCAGACAGCCAAGGCCCTGTCAAGCACCCAGCTTTTGGGAATTCAACCTAAAGATCCAGGTTCAGGTTTCAACACAGTTTTATTGGGAGGTTTTGTTTTCTGTGAAATACACTAGAGGCTAGGGCAAGGGACACATTCACTTTGCAAGATAAGGGTTTCCCACCACTAAAGGAAAGGCATGGGGCAGGGCACACCGGGGTTTGGATCCATTTTCCCACCTCCTTCTGCTTTGCTCACGTTTCTTTTCTCTCAGCAAGTACCAAAGAACACAAAGACAAGGAATAAAAACAACAAGATCAACCCTCCATTGGGGCCACACCTAAACCTTCTCCCCTTCCCTAGGCTTTGCCAGGGCTAGGAGAGGCTGAAGAAGCTTACTCTACAGCCCCCAGGCTGCATCAGAGGGCTTCAGGCTCAGATGGAAGGGGGACAGAAGTTAATAAATTAGAATAAATTATGGGGGAGGGGAGGAATGCAATTTTGTGCTAGGAGGGCCCCTTCTTTCCAACACACTAGAGTTGGTGGGGGGAGGCAGGGGGCATCTCCAAAGGCCACTACAATGGGGGTTAAGAGCAGTGAGGGTAGAAGTCAGGTTTTCCTCCATGTCCTTCACGAACAGAGCAGAAGAATGGGGGGGGGGGGACACACACAAGGAGAAGAACCCTCTTTTCCTAGAATAAGGAGGGGCCAAGAAAGAGGATGCTATCCAACCCCCATCTCCCAAACCATCACTAAGGTTAAAGATTTGGTCAGTGAATCAATGAGGTGGGTGATGGGAATGTGGTGGGGGAAGCAGAGGATGCTGGAAACAGGGTTGCCCAGCCATACTGTCTCCCCAGCCCTCGAGGAGAACAGAGATGGGGGAGGGGGCAGCAGGGGCTAAGGGAGGGGGGTTCGGCAATCACTGGTCAGCTTCTCCAAAGACGTCATTCTGTTTGCGCTTCATGTTCTCAAAGTCAAATGCAGAGCCAGCCATGCGTTTGTAGATGTCTTTGATGTCATTACAGGTTGTCTCAAAGTGTGTGGTAGCATCATAGGAGCAGGAACAGAACACCTGCAAACAGCCAGAGCCCATGGCCAGGGTGAGTTAAGTAGGGGCACTGGGTGGGCAGCTAAGAGCCAGGGCTGAGACAGGCTGCTTACCTGGCTCTCAGAACCATCATCAATGGGCTCATACAAGTCACTGATAGCCACAAACCTGGGGGGCAGATGGAGGAGGGAGGACAAGTCTCACAATGGGCCTTGCCCTTCTTGGTTTCTACTACCAGCTCCCTCCCTCCCATCCTCCCCATCAGGCTCAGCCCAGCCCCTCACTTCTGATCAATGGGCTCCAGCAGTTCCAATGCTGGCTCAATCTCCTTTTCAGGCTCTGCAGTCTCCACTGTGGTGCTGGCAATGGCGATGTATTTGCCCTGTGCGGCCACATTGTGTGCGTAGGAGATCATGCACACGTAGATGTCTGCCCATAGGAAACACTCCATTAACAGGGCCAAAGGAAACAGCCACACATGGAAAAGGCTCCTTAGGGGCCTTCTGGCCTGCCTGCCCCTTCCTACCCCGGCATACCAGGCAGCAACCAAGGGGTCACCATCATGGAGGGGAAAGAGTCCAAGCCATCCAATCCTTAGGGTCCCCAAGTTGTGGTGACTATAATGAGGGGCCCATTTGTTCCATAATGGGATCATGTGGGGAGTCCCAAGGTTGGGGTGGGGGGAGGCACAGCAACCCCAAGGACAGTGAACAGGAAATACTCAGTCATGGCCTAGCCTACCTGACTTCCTGTTGACCTGGTTCTGGGGGATGATGATTTGGCAGGAATTGGCATCATTGGTGTTCTTGATGGGGTGGCTAAGGATACAGATGATGCGGATAACCTGGCCAGCCTTCCGCACACGGTCCGGTATGTAGCTGGGGTCACAGATCAGCTGCTTGCAGCGGGCCACCTGTGAAGGCACCACAAGTCCTTGCCCATCAGACCATCCCATGCCCTGGGTGGTCACAGTCTGTATCCACAGTGAGGGCAGACAGCTCTGGCAGGAAGTGCTCCTCTGAGCTGTCACTACTGCTCCTCCTTTAGTACAAGTAGGTGCCTAACTCAGAGAAGGGCAACCCTGCTGCTGAGAGACACTGTGATCAGGAATATTTTCTGGATCAAAGACATAGCATATGGTCTTTGAGGGATACCTCTTGCCAATAGAAATGGCTATGAAGACTTCTTTTGGGGTGACTCCCCAGTTCCCAGCTCTTAGGGCCTTGAGGTTGAGGAGCAGCAGACCCATCAGCAGTCAGGCTCCTTAGAACTGAGCCCCTAAGGTGGCAATCAAACCCTGCCCTAGCCACAATGACCCCATCGCATGGGGAAGGCTTACCTCTCCCTCAGATTTTACGCCCACCACTTTGCCATTCTCCATGATGATGTCATCTACAGGTTTGTTCAGCATATATGTTCCCCCATAAATGGCACTCAATCTGTGGTGAAGACAGTGATGGTGAAGTCTCCCTTCAGGATAAATGGGGATCAATTCCACTACACTCTCCCCACTCCACCACCAAGGTACAGAAAAGATTGCCCAGGCAGGCCAAAGTCAGGAGATCCAGCAGTTCATCCCAGCTCTATCACTGCCACAAACTTGGGACTGATCTCGGCATGCTCCTTCCTCTCTGAAGCTTCTTCCCAGAATATTCTGTGATGGGCTATATTCGTGATGGGCTAATATGAGGATGGCAGAAGAAAGCAGTTCCATAAAGAAATGAACCAGAGGACCAGAATAAAGGGACTCGCTGGAGAAGGGCCAGCTATCAGATAAGCCTCAACTCAAGGTTCTGGTACCTGGTGTCCAATCCTGGTGTTCCCAGAACTGAGAAAGCCACTTTCACAGAGGCCTGGTTCTTTTCCTGTATACCTCAATGTACTAGGGCTATGCTATCACCCAGAGATGGAACAAAGTAAATGAAGATCACAGACGGGAAGGTATGAAATGCTCTAGAAATGCTCAAGGGGGTCATTTCCATTCTTGGCCTTGATACTAGTAATGCCAACTGAAAAAAAATGCCATTTCCTCACCTTGCAAAGCCCTGAGGCAGCTCACCCAGGCCATAGAGTGGGTACAAATATGGGCTCTTGCCATACCGGGCCAGGGACTCGCTGTACAACTTAATGCGGTTGATGGTCTCAAGACAGGGCTGGTCCAGGTAGCTGGGGGACAGGAATCCGGGAAGATGCTCTGATAGCAGCACCCCTGCTCATTCCCACCCAGGCACTAGGCCAGCCTTCCCACCTCCCTGTATGGCCTGGTAAAGATATGGGTAAAATGCAGGGGAGAGAGGGAATGAAAGGTAACAGATGGTTAAGTACAAGGGACATGCAGGGTGGGCAGAGGGAGCAGGAAGCAGGTGTAAGGAGGGAAGGGTGTGGGCTTGGCAAGGGGCCTCCCACCACACCAGCCTCCCTCACTCATCAGTGCGATAGAGCGCCAGGGCATGGCCAGTGAAGTCAATGACATCCTGGCCCAGGTCAAACTTTCGGTAGACATCACGCATGCTGGTAGTCTGGGGGTCAACACCCTCAAAGGTCTTGGGGTCATTCTCATCAAAGTTTGCCACAAACACCAGGAACTTGCGGAAACGCCGTTTCTCAAACATGCCCATCAGATCTGAGAAAGGGAGCATGAAGAAACTTTCTGCATCACTGGAACACTAAACCCCCCCTTCCCAGCTGGGCAGGCCAAGAAAGTAGGTACCCTAGCTCCAGCTGAGCTTCATCATGTGTCCTGATGTTTACCCTCCTACCCTTTTTGGCCTTAGTTTCCCCACTTGTATGAAGAGGGGGTTGAGTTGGACTTGGCCTTCCCATCTCCACCACTTGGGGATATTTCAGGGGTTAAGTGGAGGCCCTGCCAAAGTCTAAACGGAATCCCCCTCCATATTTCTTCTACATGTGTTTCCCTCCTGTCAACCTGCAATGGAGAATACAAAGCGAGGAGCCTCTCGTACTGCCTGGTGAATGCTATCTGGTGCAAAGGGAACCCTTCTCTGGATGGCTACCTTGCCACCAGCCCTGAGGACAGTCTGCCTCCCCCACCCAGTCCATTATTCTCTGGATCAGGGGACCCACACTCACTGGAAGCCAAGGCCTCAGTCTCAGTGGATGGCACTTTGTAGATCTTGCCCCCCTTGTAGACAAAGCTTCCCTCCACCACCTTGAAGTCCAAGTAGCGAGTTACTTCTGTATACAGTAGCATCTTTACCAGCTGCCCTGTTGGGAGGAAGAGGCAACATTAGCTCAGCTCCCTCCAGAAGCTCTTGTATGGTCTGGCTGCTCCTGCTCTAATATCTGACCCTCCACTGGTCTTTGCAGTTGCCCACCCCTCAACAATATCTTCTTCATCTCTCTCACCATTGGCCATGAGGAATTTGGGGATCAGGTCAACGTTCCAGTCTCGGCCCCGGCCCATCGACTCAGGGGGCCCCTCCAACAACTGAAAGCGCTTGTACAGCTGTAAACAGGAGGGAGAGAAAGAGAAAAACCTCAAGGTCTACCCCTATGTCCCCTACTGTCCCAGAGAGCCTGGGGACATTCTTCCACCCTATGCCTCAATGTGAGAGGGTTAATGAAGGATGGATCTGGGCCTGGGTCCAGGTTTAGGCAGCCTTACCTCCTCCAAGGGAGTGATAGAAGAGCTCTCGCCCCCATAGTAGGGGTTTCGGTCCATGTGCAGCACCTTCTTTCCATTCACAGACATGATACCTGACAGGATGCATTCCTGCAGAAGGGGTGACATTTGCTGCTGCACTCCCACCTGCCTGCATTCCCACTGGCAGCCCTGATTTGTTCCCAAACCTGCCACAATGGACAGCTCCTTCCACCCCCAGCTTGTTGCGTTGCCTAAAATTGAGGGTGACAGCTTTATCTGACCAGTGTCTTCCATAATCTTGCTGGGAAAGATATGAAGAAGGATAAAAATAATGGAGACTTTGAGGGGAACAGAGTGTGCATCAGACACAGGGACAATCTTCCAATACGAACATGCCAAGAAAGTCATCTATCTATGTAGAGCACATGGAAGGACAGATAAAACATGATGAATCATAGAGAAGACCAGACCCATCTCAACCTCAAAGGACACCTGAAAGGGAAGCCAAGATTAGCACAGTCTTTGAAATTGCAGGCCCCACCCTCCACTGCTCTTTTTTCAAAGGACAAGAGCCCCTGACCCTGATCATGGAAGGAGGGTCTCTGGGCCCAGATTGAGGGAGATGAGTCTCAGGGAAGCAGACCAATAGGGTCTGGAGGAAGGGAAAAGATAAACACCCTCAGCAGTTACTAGCCCAAGGACAAAGGCTGCAGACACCATTCAGTCTGAGGTCTCCATGGGAAACTGGGGTGAGGTAACAGGAATGTGGTCACTGCCCCCGCTGCTGCTGCTTCTGGAACATTCCCTGGGTTCCCTGACCCCCGAAAAAAGCCAGGAAGGTGGGATGAGAGTCCACCCTGGCAAGGCCACCTGACCCCATGGCCTCATGCTGCATCTCCACCGCGATTAGCACAGGATAGGAGGGGATACTGGGAAGGGATGCTGGGCGGGTGATGGGTGCCGCAGATGGATAATGGCAGGGTGGGCGGGGTCGGGGGCATCAGGTCGAGTGGGGGTGAATTTTCCAGCCAAGCAGGCCAAGGGAGGGAGCACACCGGGGGCCAGGGGTTGCAACCTGGGGAGTCGTGAGGTCGTGGAGGATTCCTTCAGGGAGACCAAGGCATAATAGTCGAATACAATCGACATTGTGTGGCAGGGTAGTGAGGTGGGCATAGGGCTGGGTTTTGGGGATCCTGAGCGGAGGATGCAATGATGGGACGGATGGGACGATGGAACGATGGGGCTGGTGACCAGGGGCTGCATCATCGCGGACGGTGGGGAAGGCATGATGTACGGCCAAGGGCGCGCGAGGGTGCACTTACAGTGAGGCCAGTCCCCAGCACGATCACATCGTATTCCTCATCCATGGTCAGGCCTTGGTGCCAGCGACCGCTCGGCTCCTCCTCCTCCTTCACCACAGCAGCCGCCGCCGACGCCGCCGACGCCGCACTGGACCAAAGATGGCGGCTCTACGGCCGCCGCCCGACCCCTCCGCCGCGTCAAAGAGTCCCGCCCCCTCCCTGCGCGCCCTCCACGCCCACAGGGCCACTGCCTCCGCAGATCGCCTCCCAGAAGGGCTTCCGGCGCCCGGGTCCCAGCACCAGCCCCACTCCACGAGCGAGTCTGCTCGCGGAGGGTCTAGAGAAGAGCGGGGAGGGGCGGGGCGGCGGCTGGTGCTGCGGTTCGTAAGGGATCCTTGCGCGGGAGCCGCACGCGCCCCGCCCCGCCCCCCGGGAGGCTCAGCGCGGCCCCGCGGGGCTGTCGCGCGCCGCTGCAGCAGCTTGGGGGGGGGGGCTGTCGCGTTGCTTTTTCTGAGTGCTGCCATTGTCATGAGTACCTCCCAAGGCTGGAAACACATCCAGACTTTGCCCTAAATGCCCGTTCGTACCCTAACTAGAGGCTCGATCCTCCCCCCTGGCCACCCAGGTTCTAAATGTTCTCGCCTCCCGCCTGTCCTGGCTCGGCTACATCCGGGTGCCTCCTCCTGCATCCCTCAGCCAAAGCCAACTGCATACCTAATCCCAGCGCAGAAAACAGTGACAAGAGGTCCAATACAGTCTTTATTTTATTAGGAAGGAAACAAGAGAGCACCCCAGACTCCTGCCAGGCACTCCTGGTGGGAACATGACAGAAACCCAGTGATTGCATCCAGGCCACCTGGAGTGGACGTCCCTTCCTTCTCAGGCCACAGAAATAAACCCCAGTGTACTGCTTATTGTTAGCACATCACCAAAAATAATAATAATAATAATAACAGCCAAGCTAGAAGGTTAGTTAAGCAGTACTTCCAAATACCTCCACACTCAGGAAACCTCAAGCTCATGGCTGCTACTGGAAGCCCCATAAAGCTTGGGGAGAGAGCATTTGTTACACAAAAGCACTATAAACAGCAAGGGGGTAATGGTGAAAAGATAATAAATAAGGAGAAAGGGGACCCTAGAACTACTGTCCCCTCCCCTCACAATGACTGAGCCTGGGAAATTTGTCTAATATCTATGCAGAATATATACACCTTATTGGTAGAGATGGGGGGACAGCCCCAGGGAAGCCCCTCAGTGGGTAGAAGAGGGGAAGCCCTTCAGTCCAATGTGTCACAAGATGGGAAAGTGACAACCTGAACACCATCACACCCTCAACTTCCCACTAGCATGGGTCACACAATCTGAGTCAAAGAGATAGTGGGGCCCTTGTGGTCATCAAAGCGGTCCATGGTCTTGAGGCTGAGGATCATGTGCAGGCCATAGGTGAAGATGAAGAGCATGAAGAGGGAGGTGAGCAGCCCCATCCATATACCCGGGGAGAAGAAGCCGGCACAGTCACTGGCGTAGGAGAACTGCTCACCTGTCACATTGAAAGCCTGAATCTGGGGAAACACACAGATGTGAGTCAGAAGAGACCATGTGGCTCCACATAAATGGGAGGTCCAGAGTCAGGGACAGTCCATATTCCTGATAGGCAGCACAAGACAGGACTGAAGCCCCATAAAGCTTGGGGAGAGAGCACCTCCTCCTTATTCCATACCTGGAAGTCCTGAAGAGTCATCTGCCACAGGGAAGGCTGTGTGCGGGCTACAAGGAGACTGCCCTTCTTGCTAAGACTGCTGACATACTCGCAGTGAAAGGAGTAGATGCTAGGCCCTGTGATTTGGGAAGCATTGAAGTAGGTGACAGAGCCATTGCTGTGGATTTCGAGGCGATCCATGGTAAACCAGTGCCGGGCAGATACTGGGTAGAAGCGGTTAGCCAGAATGAACCTGGAGGAGGTGTTAGGGGTGTCAGGTAAGCAGGGGAGACTGAAATGACAGTAGCCCCCACCTATATCTTAACTATTTCAGGACTCACTTGTGTTTTATTTGTCTTTTTTTTTTTTTTTTTTGCAGTGCTGGGGATTGAACCTAGGGCCCTGCACATGCTAGGCAAGCACTCTACCACTGAGCTACATCCATCCCACTTGAATGACTCACTTGAACGTCACTGTGGTACCAAAGAGCTGTTCATAGGTCAGCGAGAGCCTGCAAGGTGAGATAGAGATGTGCTATCAGTCTCCAGGAGGGCCTTGGGTGGCTTAGAGGAGCAAGCTTCTCAGTCTGCTCCTGCCTAAGCTGCCCCAGTTCCTCATAGTCACCTGAAGATGCAGTGTTCCCACTTGATAGATAGGGAAACTAAGGCTCCAGTCGTAACCAAGTTAAGAACAGAGCGAGAAGCTAGAAGCCAACACCCAGGTGCTGTGCCTCTAGCTTAGGGCTCCTTTCTCTGGTCCCCCTGAGTCTACTTCCCCTCCTTTTAGCTCCCTGTTAGAGTCACTGAATTGCCTAGTTTGGGCTTTGGGGTAAGGGGAAATGGGAGGGTATGGGGGTCCTAGAATTGATTGTTGTAACTGGTCTGGTATCTAACCACACACAGGCCTAAGGTTTCCTTCAAGGGGAAAGCACCAGGTTCCCAGGTCCCAACCAAAGCCTAGGGAGCACAGGGAGGCAAAACTGTGAGCACCTCCCCCTCCAGTAGCTCCACCCTGAGATACCACCTATCCCTGGTGAACAGAGCCCACCAAGACCACCCTCACCCACATACCTGTCCCTGGATCCCTGCCCCTGTCCCACAATGGCAGGAAGGCCATGTGTGGTGGCTCATTCCTCCCCAGCCTAGTGCCCTTACGTGGCAATGGAGTCATTCCAGGAGGAGCCAGTCAAGTTGAGCCCTTGCACCCCAAAGGTGAGGGAAGTCAGATCTTCCCACTGCTCCCTGTATGCCACAGAGAAGTTCTGGGCCCAGAACAGGATCCGAGGGGCAGTGTCATTATAACTCACAGGAGGATGGATCACAGCTGGTGCCACTTGTTCTTGGAGTAGCTGGCGACCTAGTCCCCCAGCCACCATGGCTACATCACGAGCCACCTGCAGAAACACCCAATAAGCCTTCTCTCAACAGCCCTGGGAGCAAGTCCTGACCCACTGTCCTGCTCTCCCATCTCTCCCTATTGGGCACCCTGTCCACCACCTAAAAGTCCTAGAAGTCTGAGAAGGCAGTTTTCTCCAGGAAGCTTTTCCATGGGCCCCTAGCCCTGATGATATTTTCCCTCCCTCAAACTTAGGATCTCGTGGACTATGTTCAAGAATGCAGCCCATAAGGCTCACAAAGAAAGATGGAAAGCTGCCCTAGATGGAGGAGGCAGAACTTGACTGCTCCTCCTAATTCTCCCAGAGCTGCCCCACCGGGGTAATCTTCCAACTGCTTCCATGAGCCCTGGGGCTTCTAGGAGGCCTTGCGTATACTTCACCTCTAGGCAGACTCCTAGCACATGCTCCACCTTTAGGCAGACTCACCACACTGCCTCTCCCCACATGCCTCAGAACCCTTGCTGGTAGTGCACTTACCCTGGAGGGGCGGACTGCTGTGAGAGCTGCTGTATAAGGGACATCTTCAGACTTGAGTGTGCTTAGCACCTGCCCAATGACTTCATCTGAGGGGAGAGCAGAGAATAAGGTCACCAGGCAGCCCACTTAAAGAAACGCTGCCTGGGGCTGGGGTTGTGGCTCAGTGGCAAAGCACTTGCCTAGCATGTGTGAGGCACTGGGTTAGATCCTCAGCACCACATAAAATAAATAAAAAATAAAGGTTCATGGATAACTAAAGAAATACATATATATATTCATATATATAATAAAAAAACACCGCCTACCATCTGCTTTAGAATCCTGTATCATGTGAAAGTCATGCTTTTAGTTTCCACTGAAGATCCCTAAAAACTGCTATTTGTCTTCGCACCCCTCTGCAAGCCTCCCCAGGGAAAACTGTGGCCTGTCAACAACTCCCTAATGCCAAGCCCAACCTAAGCAAAAGGAAAAATACATATAGAAAACTCTATATGCACTCAACTACCATTCCACGGGGAATGAAAAGCTTTAATTTATAGCAAAAAAAAAAAAAAAAGTCCTCCTAATTGTTTACTGCAGTGTGAAACTCTGGTATTCACACAGCCCGAGCACCAACTGGATCCACAGGCTCCTGCACAATAAGTCACAAGGCATTTGGACACTCTGCAAGGTGAGACTAGTTGCAAAGAGCTGTGACAGGAGAGCTGGCATTTCTCTGCTCAGCTCTCAGCTGCTCCCAGAAGCAGGGAGCCATCCTGGGGGTGAGAAAGGGCTGAAGAAAGATGTAGGCTAGCCTTCTGTGGCCCTTGCCTGAGGAGGGAGTGAAAACATGCATCCTCCCTGATCCCACTCACCGTTGCCTGTGAGGACTTCCCTGGGCGCCATCAGACCGGAGCTATGGACAAGACACAGCATGAGAGCTCCACAGGTAGCTCTGCCTGGCCTGCAGCCTGCTACCCTTCCCTCAGCTCCTCTAGCTTCTCCTCCCTCTTTACTAGCCACTCATCAAACCTGCACATTCCAGCCAGCACTCTGAAACCTGTGCAGGGACCAGGCTCACTTCAGCACCTCTGCCTGGAATCATGTTCCCCTTCCCCCACAGGCTTCACAGTCACCACCATGTCCTTAACATCTGCTCTATGAATAAGGCCTAGATAGGTGAGGAGATTCCCCACAAGCAGGTCCCCTGTCTGCCTCATCTCTGGAGGCCCAACAGACCTAGCACACTGTTGGATACTGACTCTTAAGTCAAACCTGGCAGAAGGTTCTTCCCATCTCTTCCTGGCAAAGAGGGAACCTTCTTCTGGAAGGGTTTTAAGGTGATATGTAGCAGGGGGAGTACTATCATCTTTGGCCAAATTGTGCCACCAAAGCCCAGAGCCTTGCCTTTCTCTGGGCCCCAAGGCTAGATGCTGGAGGCTAGGCTACCTGGGCCATACCTGGCTGTATAGGGCAGACGGATGAGCAGAAGTGCAGGGAGGCTGGCATTGAGCTTCAGCTCCCGAAGGGTAGCAAGGTCCACATGCAGGGGACTGGCCCCAAGCTTCTCCTGCAGGTAGGTGGTCAGAGTGCTGACTGCATACCAGTCAACAGCAGGAAGCACCAGCGAGGAGGG